ACTGTGGTTGCAGCGACCCCTTCGCTGCTGCGATCCTGTGAATTCATCATCGACTCAACAGATACCGTTGAGGGCAGCATCAAATGCAGCGATATATACAGCACATGTCATACAATATAAAGATGTAAAGTGGAGTACAAGTAGATGATCTTTAAACTAGCCATGGAACAATGTGAATGTAAAATGATGTAATGGCAATAGAACTACATAATAGAATAGAATATTATGCTTTGAGAAAAGAAAATTTGTAAATTTTGTTTTAGTATCTACACATGCAACAGAAATAACCGAGAACAAACTTGAACTAACTAAGAAACATATACAAATCTGAATGATTCTGTCACTACAGTCGAGTCGAGTAATGCAGAAGTTTGAATCGAAGGACAATTACCGTAGTACATTCGGCCCAATACATTTGTCAAAATATCAATCCAACCCAAGTCGTTTTGTCCGAATGTCAATTCGTATCAATTCGATTAGCCAAGTTAAATCCTCAATTCGTTTCAGAGTATATTCATCCTAAAGTCGAATTATCTCAAGTTGATTTATCCCAAATTCACTTCACAGTAAATTTAATTAACTTTACTCAACTTTAGGGGTTGACCATTAGAATTCTGGAAAAAAACCTGCAACATAAAAACAATCTGTACAACAAATTCATCATGGAAACGAAAAATGAGCACAAAACTATGTGAATAGTGATATGGCAACACATAATTCAGTTTTAACCCCTATAAATAAATGACAGTCCGAGTACAGGTCACACACTATACCTTCATATCTTCGTCGTTCTAAAAAAATACTGGTCTGACTAAAAAAATATTTCTCAATCGCCAACAACTTGTCAATTAAGTCCAAATAGTCCTTTTTCATAAGTCGTGCACCCTCACAATTTCCTGTGGGAGAAACTCAGAATAAGGCAAGAAACACTTTTCTTGTTTCTTTTTAATCTAACCCATCAGGGTGTTCATTTATGATGTTGTCAGAATATTTATGTAGTTTTATGTGGTGGAATAATGTTCCATTATTATTTGTATCTCAAATATTTTGAAAAGTAGGTACAAGTTGTAGCTAGTAGTAGAAACAGAATTCTACAGTCAATGAAATGTGATAATTGGTTGGTTTCAAGTTATCGGTATACAAGGAGACAAAAACAACTTTTGTAAAATTCACAGAGAGCATGTCATTTTTCTCTTGGGATACTGACAAGTTATTTACATTATATCTTCAATAAAGCATATACATGTACAGTCAGATCTCATGGTATTTTACCAATTACGCTAATTAATTACAATTTAACTTTGGCCACACGGGTATAAAGCGCCCTCTATAGGTCAATTCGAATATTGAATATCAGAAGTTACTCAACCAAACAAATGCCTCGCCCAAAATTATAAACAAGTTCCAAAGTTAGATCTGACATTAAATCAGCAAAAGATAACTGAACATATTATAAATATTCAAACGATACTATACATGTTTTCTAAAGAAGCTCCTTTCCAATGATGCATTGTAGATTGTGTTGCCTCTGTTCGTGTATAGTTTGAAATATATATAACTGTTCATTATTATATTATAATCAATCGTACTTTATTTTTGTCTTCAGTTAATCAAATCTACTACATCCCTGAAGTATTCAGCTGCCGAATATTAAAATTACGCCAAAACATGATGCATTCATGCTAATCCTTGACATTCGATGGTTAATAAATGCAATTCGGTAGACTGTAAGTTTGACAGTGGGTCAAACAGTGGTGCCACAACGCGCACTGATTCATCATATAATACTAGCCGGTATCGTGAAGATAGAGGGCAGAAGTGATTGACATCAGATCTTGGAGACATCAATCTGCTTTCACATACCAACAAATGTTCATTTATTGGCGCATAACCTTTAGAAGACAGAATCTGTAAGCAATGTCCCCAGATCAAAATTGAAAATGAAGAACATTTCTTCATGGAATGTCTTACTTACCAAACAGAAAGACAAAAATTATTTAATAATATCAATATTCCAGAAGAATTGAAAAGTGATGACCAGATATTTAAATATATTACGAGTTCGAGAGAAGACGTACTAATAAGAAAAGTTGGTGAATAGAAATTATCAGAAATAACAATAACTGACATTTTACTTTTACTTTAGTTTTATATGTACTGTACTTTATTACTAACATTTTATTGCTGTCAACCAATGGAAATTATTTCTAAGGATGCAATAAATTCATTATTATATTATCATTATTATTAACGCATATTCGGAGTATATAAAACCAAGAAAAGGATTGTTTTGTCACCGCTGCCACCACAAAATTTGCTTTTGAAGGCAAAATGCACTACAAAAATACCTAAACATGGGTGCATGTGCCACACCCCAAACTCAGTGTAGCAAGGGTAAAAACTTTGAATGGTATCAATCACCAGTGCACTGGGATATCTGTTATACGGTACTCGGGAACCTATATATCTTCACAGATCATTAATAACTTGTTTGGCTCTGAGAGTGATAGCACCACAAAATAAAACGTTAATTATTGTTATAGAAATAAACTCACACTCACACCTGTCAAAGTTGTGTTTCAGTCTTCCCCAAATCTCAGAGGAACAACATTTAATCAACAGACCGCTAACGGCAAACAGTACAACGCTACCCACAATGCACTATCACAATGGGTATTGGAAAAGCTCAACAACTGTAGGAAATACAAATGTATGACCTTGAAAAAGCACTTCCCTGTAATTATCAAAAAAACGAAAGACCAGTCAAATGAGAACTGACCAATGAGGGCGCTCTCCGTCAATACCAAGAACTGTCTGACTGCTCTGTCGACCAATATGCTGGTAAAGGTAACTCACCAGAATGTGCTCTAGCATTTATAGAACACGAACACAGTTACTACTATAACGCGATATCGCTTACAATAAAGAAAGTAATATCAATCTGCTTAATTACAGTCTTCAGAACCGTAAGAGTGGTGGTTCCACGCTCAAATATTGATATATTGATCAAACAATAATAATATAACGTCAGAAAAGCATTCACAACTACTCAGAAAATTAGCAATAACAGTGATGGTTAACCAGAGCATAAATAGCCTTTCACTGTGGCTGTTTAACAAATGTGACTTCAAAATATGGCCTAGCAAGTATTCTAATTAAAACAGAATATGTAGCCTCACATATACACAAATTCACTCGATTTTAATATCTCGTCGGAAAGAACTCAGTTTAGCCTGTTTTGTGAATCACCGAACGAAATAAAAGGCCGGAATCTATCCAGAACTATTATATTATGTATTATAATCTACAAACACTCTCCGAATCACACGGGGTTGTAATGCGAAGTGCGGCTTCAACTCGATTAATTTATATTTATCGGTGGAGTTCAGTGAAACTTTTCACGCTATATAAAGGGAACGGTACCTGTCGATAAAGGTTGCTACTTCGGTGTTGGGGTTAGGATAGCATCTACGATGCGAATCGGTTCGTTGAAACGGTTTTCTTCGTGATCACTGTGTCGTTTCTGCGCGGAAAACGTTCACTGGCTTGAACGCGTACACTGTATTTTTTTGTATGGTCTCGTGCTCCCGGTTTCTTTAGTCGTCGGTAACTTGAACTTTTGGTATTCTACGAGTTGCAATCAATTTCAACTCAAATCACGAGTCCTGGCAGATCTCAGTATTATCGTTCACCAGTATGTGCTAAGATTATAACGCACGGTCCGTTATTTCAGTGAAACACGGCAGAGTGAAGAGTGAAGAGTTGGTATCATACTCCCGCGCTTTCGTTTCTTGCACCCCTGGTTTTCTCCCATCATCCCTTGCGGTGTTGTCAATCATTGTTGCTGCGTAGCGTATATGGGAAAGCGTGATAATGCATTACATGGGGAAAACACTCATACAGGAATCATACAAATATGCAGACACTACGTATTCTCTGTAATTAACCCAATTAGTCTCAAATAAATAATGAAAAAAGAAATACATTTCTGACTGTCAAATTCCAGGTGCGACACATGTTTGCAGTGGAGAATTCTTTGAATTGAGTATATGTTTTGATTATGGGCTGCACATCCCAGGCCAAACAGACTGTATTGGTACATCCCGACCCAAAACACAGTGCACATCAAAGACCAAACAGGCTGTATATCTCAGATTAAACACATGCTACACAATTAAGAAAAAATTATGGTAGGTGGACTATATGTTTTATATGGGGAAAGGGTTTGTTTATCATAAACTTCAGTGTTGAATGCACAGCGTGTCTACGGCTGCCTTGGATTAGCAGTACCGGGATATACAAACTATATCAAACTTATGTAGGCATGCATGTACAAAATCTGTGTTTGGGGCTCCACTCAGCCGCTTTCTACATACTGCCACCACCTATTTGAAATTTGGCTAATCAAGGTGAAGACTGAGTTTTTCAGATATTTCATCACTCCTTCTTTACTGAGACATTCGACTGTAAGAAGAATGAAGGTCAGCACTTAAAGCGAGGGAGTCGTCACCTGCGCATGCGTAAGATGGCCATAGCACGTTATTGTTTACAAACAAGCGTCTACCCATGAGCCTTTCCATTTTTAGCGTGTGTTGTTATTGTCAATTGGGACTCAATTCCTGATGACCCTCTCGCTTCAACGGTTTTCCATTTTGGTATTCTCTACCAGCCTTATTGAATGTAAGTAGAACATGAACTTTCACTTTCTACTAGTAAACAGTCTTGGGTGTTGTCGATTTCGCACACAAATTTTGAACAATGATTGGTTTTTGCTTGGTGGTTCCAACTTATTCGTATGTAGCTGGGTTCGAAAATAATTACCTGAGCGGCGCTGGCTTGTAAACTATAAATTTATACTTCCATTCTTCATACTAACAAAATATTTATTTATAACAACTATTTACAATTACATAGATAATGTAATATCCATGTTAAACCATCATGGGAGATACAAAGATGTTGGTTTTCACACTACTAATCAAACAAACAGTGGAGCAAGGAAAGGACTGGGTGATTTTCTAAATGATTGATATTGACAGGTTAGCTAGAAAGGCTTCGTCCTGTATGTACCAATGACCTCTCATGACCCCAGTTACCACAAAACATGGCAATCACAGTATTTACCATACTGTAGGAATGATAAATATTTAAATATCAGGCATAACAACGTTTAATTAATTCTGCTCAAATGTTAATATAATACAAATGCCTGGTATCTATTAAATGGATTATACTCATTTCACTTCCAAAATAAACTGAAATTAAAATTTTTAACTTGATTTCTGGAAGTGGCAAAAAATGTGATCATAGAGGACGGATACACAGTAAAATAAACAAAAAGAAGTCTGTAGATAAAGAGTAAACCAGTAATACCATATATAATCCACATGTGGTGTCAGTTTTATGAATATTTACTTGTAGAAAATTACAAATATTGTATTATTGATATGCAGCATTTCTGGCCATATATGCTTTCCTCATTGGATGAGATTTGTCAATGACTGGTCTAGAAAGTGCCTCTTTTAATTTGGCCTGATATTGTGCTTCAGCATCAAGTCCTTTCAAATACTCTCGGTATTCTTCATCCTTAGCTACCTCCTTCACACGTTTTTCATAATCTAATTGTCCTTCAAGATCATTCTGGTATTGTAAATTCTGGGATTTCACCTTGGCCTCTCGCTCAGCTTCTAGACGTTTGTGTTCCTCAATGGCTGCAAGCATGGCTTCACATTCTTTACGGGCTTCTTCCTGTTTCTCCTTGTTGACTAACACTATAAGTGAAAAAAAAAATATTCATCATATAAATAAGTAATGCCAAATTTACAGGTCAATAGCATATCACAATAGGATCATACAATGATCCTGTTACATGATGAACACCTTTAGAACGTATGACCAGTAGTACCCATTTGGTTTTGCCAAAAGGACCTAAGTATAGGCATTCATATTTGTTTACATTTTGCTTGTAGAAACCGTGACTAGTATGCAAGAACAGGCTGTTCATACTAGAATATAAAATAACAATGCTGTTCACTGCTGTTATTATTGATATACATCTATGTGTCCCAGTTAATGAAACAACAAATGTGCAATGTCATAGCACATTGTGAGCTCATGCTCAGTGAGTACATTTGATATCCAATATTTGCATGCTTGTTAGCGAAAAATGAAGGGTGGAAAAATAAGATAAATGTTAGTGCATGTCAGTGCTTTACAGTAGCCGTCAGAGTTATGAGCACAAACATGTTTTTGTTTATTCTGATCTCCAAATATTTCTCTTCATTTTTATTTTAAAATGAGAATTTCTTTTCACACATTCATTTTGGAACCATGGGTTGATTTAGAAGGACACTCTCCAAACACATGTCCATACACATGCATCTCACAATGCAAAGCATCAATGACATCAAGACATTTTGAATACTACTCCGTTGAGAATCATGAGTGTTTGGTAATGTCAAGCTAAAAGGGTATATTCATCATATTTATAATTATAATTATTGGAAAAATAAAGTGATGTTTTGTTGAATTATTGTTAAGAATATGAATATATATGTCTGTACATTATCTGTATGCATGAGTACACATGTTTTACACAAATATTGGTTAATACTGCTCAAGAAGTTTGATTTTTGCTGGAAACCATAAGGACATTTTAAAATCCCAACTACCGGTAAATGTTTTTGATTGGTTTCATTGATAGGCATGTTATATAAGTGATGAATTATTTTCAATTACAGTGCTCATTAAAAACACAACATTCTTATATACTTACACTTGGCTTCAACTTGTTTCTGTCTCTCTGCTAAGACTTCTTGCATGAGTCTCTTCCTTGCCTCATGTTCTCTATCCCACTGGTCAAGTCTCTTCTGCCATTGTTTCTCTACCTCTGCAGTGATAACACGATCTAGCTCCTTCTCACGCTCTTTCTCCTCTTCCAACTGTTTACGTAGATAGGCACGATAACGAATTTGTTCTTCACGCAATTCACGCTGAAAATAAAACAATTTTAATTTCACGTAAGAATTCTTTTAAGCATACATGTAAATTACACAATCCTATACCTTAGCTGAAACTCTATAAGCATTATAAAGTTCTACAAATCTTGCTAGCATTCATGATACTCATGGCAATGCTTTTATTAATAACTTTATTGTACTGTATGGTATTAGAATTCAACAAAACATAAATATATTAAACAAATGACATTGTTTTCTGACCTTTCTTTGCTCCTGTTCCTTAGCTTCATTGCGGGATTCTTCCAACAGTTCTTCTAAAATCTTCATATCAAGTGCAAGTTCTTCTTGCATTTCTTTGGCTCTCTTCTTCATTTTTAATTTCAATGATTTATCCAACTCACTTCTCATGGCTGCTTGCCTGGATCTTTTCTCTGCCAATGCACGCTGCTCTTCCAGTTTACGTAGCTTATTTTGTTCTCTCTAAAGGCAACATATATTATAGGTAGTGAGTGACATGACTAAAACTAATCCAACAACATTGTATGTTACACATTTGAATAACTTGTCAATGTAATTTACTGTCACATGTATTCGATGTTATTAACTTTCTATGTCAGCAGCTACTATGAGTTTATAATTTTTAAAAATTTTACCATTTTCATTATACACTGTCTGTATGGGAAAAACACTATCGGTATTAGAAAATTCAGTTTAAATAATCATTAACTTAACTCACCAAAAGTTCTGCTTCTTCAGCTACCAGTCTTTTCTCTTCTAATTTTTGTTTCTGCAGTGCCGCCATCTGTACTTGTAATGTTTCCAGCACTTCTCTGTTTCTAGCCATCTGTTCTTTGGTTTCTCTTTCTTCCCTGGCTGCTTTGGCAAGTCTATCTTGTTCCCACATGTAGGCATACATGCGCTCATCTTCCAGTCTCTGTTGTTCCATTTGATCCTTGAGTTCCAGTTGCTTCATGCGTTCTGTGCATACCTCATCTTGGTGACGACGAGTGAGTGTTGACCTTAATTCTTCACACTCTTCCCTGTAGTAGAAAAGCATTAATAATACAATTCAAATCCTTGATCATGGTTCACTGTTCACAAACTATATGATCTCCACAAACTCAAATAATGGCATTTTGCATAGAATTTGGATAACAAATTCTCTTTTGTTTTGCTATTTGCATATGTAATGAATCTGAGAAATTGTAGGCACAAATTTAAGTTGACCACCTCCCTAAAACTCAAGTGTAATATCGTTTCTCTATTCTTGTTTTTTTTTCTTTATGAAAAACTCTATTGACTTTACAGCCTAAACCAGGTTCTAAACACAGGCTTTATATGTATATTGATTTGCACTGTAGTAGTATTAGTGTGTGGCAATGCAGTGATATGACATACCTCCACCTCTGGTCAAGTTTCTCTGCAACTACCTGTAGCCTTTCCTTTTCTCGCTTATCTTTCAAGAACTTTGCTCTTTCTCTCATTTTAGCTTGTCTTTCTATCACGGTTTCTTGTTTGTCTTCCATCTTCTTTGAGGTATTGGTCCTCCTCAGCAGAGAGAAGATCACGTAACCTTTGATATTACAGCAAAAGGAACATGCATTACTTAACAATTTTGTTTAGTTTACAGTCATTGATAGAATTGAGAGTTTGTATTACTAGTAACTAAACACATGGCATTATTAGCTGTATATAAACACATGGTAAAGTTCATTTAGTAATATGAGACTTGGCATTGATTGTTTATACAAATTCAGTATTTCTGTATAACAAATTTGTGTTCAACTGTGCAGGAAAGCACCAGAGTTATGAATAATCATTGTATCATCTTACCTCTGCCTTCTGTCTTCTAAGCTGAATTCTTCTTGTTGTAACATATTTTTCACCTTTCTTTTAACTGTGTTTTGTTGAATGCGTCTGTCTGTGGTGCTTTCCCAGTCATTTTTTAGGTCATACATTTTATTGTATCGTACCAATGACTCGGCTTCTTCTCGCATGTCATCCTGTTTACGGCGCTCTAAAATCAAATGATCTGGAGGAAATCTGCTGGGCATTCTAGCTTTCTATAAAACACAAACAAATGACTATTGCTAGAATAATAATAATAACTTTATTATTCTACTAAAAACCTTCAGAGTGTTTTTGTATGGTAAGGAACATAAATACAAAGAAATACAAAAAACGTACAATACAAAAGAGATAAAAATAAAATGTTAGTAAAATATAAGAAAAAATAGATTAATAATAATAATAATAATAATTTTATTAAAAGAGTTACAATTAAGTAGAATAAAAAAACAAAAGTACACATAACTATAACTCCTTATTATTGTAATACAAGCACTAGAATTTGTCTTTATTTCAAAAAAACATGTTTGCTAGGCGTTGTAGGAAAGGTCTAGGTGACTTCTGAAATCGAATAGATTTTAGGCGAATGCAATCACTTGCAATGACATAAATAAATCATTACTTACAATTGCCACTGAATGCGGCGTTGGGCCCGTGTGTTCACGGGTCCTTCTTTTCGTCTGATATGCTAACATAATGCTTCTTTACTAAAATCCGTGAAGAAACACCGATGGATTCCACACCAAGAAAGTCGACTTAGCGACAAACAATACAAAATCTGACGAACAGACACTCTGCAATGGGTTACTCAAAATATCTTCAAATAATTATCCAACACAGATTAGTTGTACGTAGAATAATTATTTTTTCACCAAAGGTCTTCGTTCTTCTAAACCTCTTAAACAAATTGGAGCGATCGACAACAAGACAGACGATTTCCAGTGAGCTACCAATAACCTATAGTGCAGGCCTTTTTCGATCGGCCAAAAACAGCAACTAGGATATTGTGTGCGTACGTCACATTACCATAGCGATAAAATTCTAAATATATAGCGCCCTCATCAATATTAGTCTCGTTCAAATATATTCATTCCAGTACCTGGTGATGTTTGCATTTACGGTTATTTAAGATTATTAATATAAATCAAACCCAATAGATTAAATATAAATTTATTTATTTAGAAATAAATGCTTTGAATCACTAAAATTATAAACTTTTGTTTCAGTTAATATTTTTACCCTTGGACAAAAAATATTACCTTTGACCTAACACATGTGACCAAAGTTCGGAGCGGTTTATTTTGAACAAGGTCTATTTTTCGCAGGCCGTTTACACCACAAAAGTAATGGATTCACATACACTGGAGGAGCTCGGTGATTATTTTACCAGCAAAACTGCGAATATCCGAAAATGTATGGAGTTACACGGATGTGGTAAGTGTCAAAGAGTCCAGTCAATTTCTTTCGTCTGGCGCTTCATAGTAGTTCTGGGTCCTGGGTCTTGTTTACAAATGTGTTCAAACACAAAAGCTTGCATTAATATAAATAATTATATAACCAAAGAATTCGCTACTAGTAGAGGAGTAAAACAGGGATGTTTTCGACATTTTTATTAATGATTTAAAGAATAGTTCGGATAATTAACAATTTATTAACTCATAACAACCTACTGACTGAAGGAGGTTAAAGGTTACAACAACAACAAAAAATTACAGATACAAATTAATCAAATTACAATGGCTAATAGTTTAAAGACAACCAAAAACAGACTAAATTGAAGTTAGTAACAGAAATATATAATAAAGTAAAATGAAACGCCAACAGAAAACTAAAAACTGAATATAAAAACAAAAACCCAATGAACACATAATAGGTGTAAAAAAAAAAGTCAATGACTAAGAAGGTGCTGCTGTCATAAAAGTAATGCCAGTACTAAATCACCACTTTTGAATAATAACAGTGTTAACTCTATTTTATATGCAGATGGTTTAGCCCTCACTTCCACTACCCAGGCTGGTCTACAGACATCATTAAATACATTAAATGAATATTGCAATAAGTGGAAATTGAGTGTGAACTTTTTAAAAACTAAAGTTGTTATCTTTGGTACATCAGCATTGAGAACAAAAAATACCAATTCAGTTTTGGAAATGATAACATTCAACAACAAACAGTTTTTCATATCTAGGAATCACAATAAAATCAAATGAGAATTTTGTAGTTGTCATGTTAAATTTAGCAGGTAAAGCTGGAAAATCAATTTACATCATGAACGGAGTACTTTTAGGAAATCTAGACATAAAACTAAAAATGAAACTATTTAAGAATTACATAAACCCAATTTTGCTTCATGACTCCGAATTATGGGCCCTAGAGAAAAAAAGAGTCAGGGTATTATATCCAAAGAAAGCTCATTTCTTAAAATGAATGATTTATGTAAAAATTCCCCTAAAGGCTTAATTATATTTCTGTCATTACTTTTTATTAAATATGTGAATTTTTGCAAGTTGGTAATTATTTCTTTGGGGAATAAAATATTGGAAATAAAATCATTTCTATCTGTTTGATATTGTGGACAAACTAAAAGAAAGTGTAATTCGTCTTCAACTTCCTGTAATGGGCATTGTTTACAAATTCTATTTTCTAATGGGGTTTTTGGATTGGTATGTCTGCCTTTTTCAATGATATTCTTTGATTATTATCCAAAACATTAAGGTAATTTTCCAGATCATCGGGGTAAAGTAGCGTGCTAATTTTAGTGTTATGTTGTGTGACCTGATCAAGGGATCTGTCTTCCAAGTATTCACTCATATCATTCACATATAAATTAAATAGTGTGGGGCTTATAACACAGCCTTGTCTCACACCATTTGTTGTCTCAAATATATTTGTGATTGAAACAAAAAAATCAAATTAATCAAATTTAAAAAATTCAAAGAAACAAGAACTTTGTCAATTATTGCATAAACAAAAGATTTAAATTTTTGGTTATGTGAAACGTTTATGAGGGTGAATGATATAGCTGTAATAGAAGATTTCAACTTTATACAGAAACCATGTATTGCTAAGGGGGTTGGATTAGGTATCTTGATTCATAATTTTATTGTTATAGCTGATGAATGTCTTGACCCCCACAATGACAATTGGGAACGTTTGTAAGTTAAAGTAAAACCCAAAGAGTCAGTCAATCTAATCTGCATTTGTGTAGTGTACTTCCCTATAGAATGGAAAAATACAAATCTTACTTTTCCATCAGCTTTTAGTTGAAATGCAAACCTTAGAAAATCAATAATATTCTAATAATGGGTGACTTCAAAGGCAAAATGATGATGCTATCACAATATTATAGGGATCCAGCCAGTAATCACTTACTGAAATCTGTGAAGATACTGAGTTTTGTTCAAGTATAATGTTATTTTTTCTGTTTATTGTTTATATTGATGTTGTGATTTTTCTTGTAAATGACTTGTAAGCATTTTTGTAAGTATTATTATTAAATCATTTTAACAACATTTTACTGATTATATGGTTATGTTATTATTTAAAGTACCGGTACATGTCATTGAATGTTTATCAGAGACTCTATTAACACAATTTATTGATGAATGGTTTGCTGCTTCCCCAGTCACCTTAACTTCTAAATTGGAAATGATTTATACCACAGTTACATGTAGCTGGTGTACAAGTGATAATTAAATAAATGTGTTATTGTCTGTATGGGGGCTGCCATCTTAAATACGGCATGAAACTGAATAAGGGACAAGTTTAGAAACACATTTTTCAGGTCTTAAAATTATTAGGGTCCGTGGGAACATTGGGTAAGTCAATTGTATGCAAACATGATGCAAAGCGACTATTTCCATGATTTTTCTTGCACGATTTGTACTTTGACTGATAGGTCAAGTCTGTTAACCAATCAGATAGCTGTGTTGTGCAGATGCAATTCTTTGAGAATTCGCAAAGGCAGTGAATTATCAATGTCAAGGTATGATCTGTTGGTATTGATTTTGGCAAAACAATGTTTTGTAAAAAAAAAAACCTGTATTTACCACCTTTCGCAGTTGTTAACGGGTCATTGTCGAAGCATAGGTTACGCACATTTGATATACATTTGTATTTGTTGTGGTTCATATCCATGCTGTATTATAGGATAGGATATTTTATTTGGAACGTACACAAAAACAATGCTTGTAAAAGTCCAACATAAGAAACATACAGTATCACAACTAATCTAAAATAATTTTAAAATCTGAAAAACAAAATTAGCTAAAATACTACAAATATATTTGTCTACACTAGAGAAAACATTAATAAACAATTCTCCATTTGGTAAGGTTTGATAGTCAGATGAGTATTTGAACAATGTATAGAGGAATATTTTCTGTGTTCTGAAAAACTGTCACAATGAAAAAAGTAATGTTTTTCATCACCCACATCCTTAGATTCACATAAATTAAATAACAGCTTATTAAAAAAGTCAAAAAATGATCAAATGTATGATAATGTATAACTTGACTGTAGAAATAGGAGTATTTTGGAGATGGGTGCTTAGTCAAACTTGAAACTGAAAATAGAAATGTGGCAGCAGTCGGGGTGAGACAATGAAAAATTGTTTTACAAGATTTTGTTTGTTCAGCAACAAAATTCTATTTTCATCACATGCTACATGTATACTGCTTTTATGTTTGATGTAAACTAAAGAGATTGTAATGTGGAATGATGGTGGCTTAACACAAATAAAGGAAATTTTGAATGCTTGAACAAATGCAAATAAAAGATTTTTACAGAGAGGTAAATACTGTTGTTTTTCTTAGTTGTCCAATTTAATTATTCATTTGTAGGGAATGAACCAAACTGTCATAAACTATTAAAGTCTCTTGACATGGAGTTGATTGCTGCTGAAGATATTTTATCTGAAATGAAAAAATACATCAGTGTTGAGAGACGAAAACTGACAGATGCACAGGTATGTACAATGTATGTGCAAATCACATGTGCCACTTGCATAGACACGATACTAAAATCACAGGCACGCTACTTAAACCAGATGCAAACCACACATGCCACATGAAAACCACAGGTACCATATGCAAATCACAGACTTTATATGCAAATCAAAGGCACCATATGTAAATCACAGACTTTATATGCAAATCAAAGGCACCATATGCAAATCACAGACTTTATATGCAAATCAAAGGCACCATATGCAAATCACAGACTTTATATGCAAATCAAAGGCACCATATGCAAATCACAGACTTTATATGCAAATCAAAGGCACCATATGCAAATCACAGGAAACAAATCAAAGAGGCCATATGCAAATCAAGCAAGTCATATGCAAATCGTAGCTTCCAAATGCAATCGGACACCACAAACAAATCATAGGAAACACAGACTTTATATGCAAATCACAGGTACCATATGCAAATCACAGGCACCATATGCAAATCACAGGTACTATATGCAAATCACAGGTACTATATGCAAATCACAGGTACTATATGCAAATCACAGACTTTATATCCATTTAGCACATGTACCATACGCAAATCACAGACTTTATATGCAAATCACAGGAAACATATCTAAATCACAGGCACCATACGCAAATCACAAGAACAACTTTCAAATCACAGGCACCATTCGCAGATCAGACTTCATAAGCAAACCAAAGACACCATATGCAAATCAAAGAGACCAAATGCAAATCACAAGCACCATAAGCAAATCACATGTACCATATTCAAACTACGCGTACCGTATGCAAACCACACACCATTCGCAACTCACAGGCACCACATGTAAACTACACGTTACAAACAAGCCAGACACCACATGCAAATCCCATGTACCATTACTACCATATGCAAATCACAAGCACCATAGCAACCACATGCACCATATGCAAACCACGGAAACCACGTTTCTACATTCATGTACAAAGTGATACATGTAGCTCCTTCCAAGTTTACATTTTTTCCACCTAAGATTTGGATCTTACTATTGGTTCCATTATTTCAAAAACACATTTTATTAATTTATTCATAAATAAAGTTTGAAAACACAAGAAAACTGAGTAATTTGCTATATAGGTCTAAAAAAAATATATTTCATAGCACTCCAGGTGCTGCACTATACACTGGTCAGTTGGCCATGTACTGACGCAAACCTATTTGTCATCTCAACTACCCAGGGAGCATACAACTTTGACTGCCATATATAGGCACACATGGTTTAGGTGTTAAACATTTAGTACCAGGTTCTCATATACACCTAGATAGTGAGAAACAGTAGACACAAGCCATGCATAGCACAGTCCCTGTTAGTTATCAAATCTAAGTTATATAGTTTTGTTTATAGTATGTACAAGTACTTGTTCATATTGAGAAATATTGCTCTGGAACAGCATTAATTATAACAAAATGGCCACCGGTCAGCCATTTTGAATCGGATTGTCAAACTAATACATCTGTATATCTATGACATGATGGTATAATGATTATTTAAAATTTTAACATCAGTCAAAGCATGTCAGAGATATAGCACTAGAACCGCATTCATTAAAACAAAATGGCTGCCAGTCGGTCATTTTGAATCCGATCTAAAAAACAAAATGACATGCACCAGGAACCCATAATGTCTGATGTATGTACCCAATTTGACCAAATTCCATTCATACACGACCGAGATCCAGTTCCAGAATGCCAGAAATGCTTGATTTTTTAGCACACAAATGGCCACCATTCGGCTATTTTGAATCAGATCATCAAACCAATATATCTATATATCTATGAGGTGATGTACATGTATAATGAATAATTAAAATTCGAACATAATCAGTCAAGTCACTCACAACCACATTCATTAAAACAAAATGGCCACCAGCCGCTCACAGGCATGGACACACAGACACAGAGGTCAATCCATAAGTCCTTGTTTTCGAACTGCATCCAAACGGGGACTATCGGTAATGAAGTGCAGTGTGATGCACCTAAAACCTCACAAACAGGCTAGCTCATTGTGCACAGCCACAATGTTGCACGAGGTGCACACAATAGACAAAAGGCGCACTTACTTGTCATTAGTGTACTGCATCAAGGTTAAGACACAGTGAAAATGGTGTAACGAGTAACAGAAATATTTGTGTTGGTTCAAAACTTATGCATATTACAAGAATCTACTCTTAAGAAACAAAATTCCCTCAAATCTTTCAATAAATCTTTTTTACCAGATGTATGTTGTGCACCAAACAGTATCAAAATCATGTACATTTTATATCAATTCATTGTCTATATACACAATTTCACTGCACATGTCATTGAATAACAAGTATGGTTTTTCCCCAGAAAAAAAAAAGAATTACATTTTAAAACAATTGTTCTTGTGAATTTCTTGTGAGTCACAGAAACAACATTGGTTAAATATGATTGATTGTAAGAAAATATGGCATTAGCTGGTTTTGAGTTTGATGCAAATGTAGGTCATTGGATGACATTGCATGGACTTAAAGGTGGTACAACGAAATAATTACATCATTTATAATGTAATAATTAGAATGAAAAATTCCCCAGTACCTTTTTTTTATTAGCTCCGCTGTCAACTTTGTCGAGCGGAGCTTATCATATGAGTGATTGTCCGTCGTTGTCCGGTGTCCGTCGTCCGTGTCAATGTTTTATTTTTTCGACTTCTTCTTGAAAACTACAAGCCTGAATGCTTTGATACTTGGTGTATATGTACCTTGGGTAGACCTCTCTCAGATTTGTTCATTTCTTGATCATATCTTGAATTTTCTAATTTTGGTGAATATTTTTGTCATTTTTGGTAAAAAGTGATATTTTCGACTTCTTGTTAAAAACCGCAAGTCCAATTGCTTTGATATTACATATATAGGTACTACATGTGGATTTCTCTCAGATTTGTTCATTTTGTAATGATATCTTCAATTCTCTAATTTTGGTGAATATTTTTGTCATTTTTGGTAAAAAGTTATATTTTCAACTTCTTGTT